CAGTGCAAAAATATAGAGGACACATTTGATATACACATGCATACCTCTATATGTGAAAAAATGTGCAGCCAACAATTTAAATTGCGCTGTAAATAGCATAATTTCGTTTATTTTCACACACGTACACATACAATTACATATGTACACTGTGATGTGTATTTTTGTTGTACCTATTCAAACACGCACACATTGTTACTATAGTCAAACAGAGCGCTTTAATTTATTGCATAATTTGTGGCTGACAAACTAGTTGGTAATTTTATTTATTTTAATTTTAATTATATTTATTGATAACCATTTGTCAAATTTTGTAAAATTACATTAGCGCATATTTGCAATTTCGGCTATTTACTGAAGTGTAATGTGAATTTAAAGGCGTAAAATGATGAATGCGATAATTAGAGCGCAGTTTGTGGGATGCGCGAATGGGCAGTGGTTGGTGGTTATATGTATTTCTAGTGGTATTTGAAGTACTATTTTTAATATTTTTTGAATTTTTCAATGATATAATCGACCGGGGTGAATTTATTCAGAGAACTTATCATCAGCACAAATGTATGCTACAAAATATAAATTTTTTTAGCCTGACACTTGTTCCGAAATTTCTAAATGGCTTATAGTACAGTATATTTATATATATTGTTAATAAAATGCATTGATCGAGTCAAGGATTCTTGTTTGAGAAAAAATCATTTTCCATAATTTGTTAAATATTTTTTAGGTCTATTTATTTGTAATTTTTGCTAAGATTTTTTTTTTGGTACTGAAAGGTGAATAATTTTTTTTTAACAAATAATAAGTTTTTTAAGACTTATCTTTTGAGGAATTGTCGGTATCAAAAAGATACTTCTGTATTCAAAGTTTAAGGTTTGTATATTAATGGTTTCGAAAAAAAAAAAATAAATTAATGTATAAATATGGTTCGAATACTGAGGAAAAAATTGTTTGTTGATTTTATTTTTTTTTCTTTTTTGAAACCATTAACACACCCACCTTCTGTATAAGAAGAAAAATTCATAAGAAAAAAATTAAGAGCTGTATAAGGAATATCAGCTATTTGTAGGGGAAAATAGGAAAAAATATCGTGGTATCTTTTAGGCGTTTTCTAACCCTCATAGAAGTTCAAATTTTTGAGACGCATACAAGTTTTATTAACTCTTTTTCTATAATTTTGCTGACATTTCAATATAATTTTTATTTAAAATTTGTTTTTTAACATAATTATTATTTGCTCATACTATAAATATAAAGAATTGCTGGCTGTGATTATAGCTAATTGTAGCTAGAATTAAGATTGGCTATTCCTAGGCAGATATTTTAATTTGAAATATACTTATAAGGAAATTTTCATTTTTTGTGGGTAATTTGGACTACAGTTTCCTTAAACGAAATACTAAAAATATTTTAATAATTATTTAATTGTATTTTATTTTCACCTTGTAATATATATTTTCAAAGCTCATTTATGCCATTGTAATTTTAAAAATCGAAAACATGTCGGTGTATTTAAGATGGCGGGGTTAAGTAATATGTTTTTTCCACATTTACCTTCTAAAATATTTTTTTTCTATTTTTCTTCCTAAAATTATGTTCAAATTAGTCCATAAATCAGACTAAAAATAAAAAAAAATTTCTACTTTGAAGACAAATATTTAATGGAAATAATATCGAGTCATAAGAAATGTTTAGTTCAGGCCTTTTGCTTAACGCCTAAAATTCTGCAATTAATATTTTTATATGAATGAAATGTGTTGAAATATATTTTTCATTGCTCTAACTCTCACTGTAGACCATTTAATAAATCGGCAGGACATACTTTAAATTTAACTAATATTTTCGCAAAATATATCAAACACAAAAGTCAATAACTACAGTTCACTCTGCTGCAGGCCAGGAAAAAAGACACAAAAATGTACATAGCAGCAACCAAACATTCAGTAGAGATAAAACATATTCATCAAATATTATACATGTAGCAGAAAATTTATTTTATCGACAAATTTGCGTGCGCTGTGAATTATTAACATTAGACTGATTTTGGGTTTGGTACGCTCGCTCTATTATTCATGTGCAAATGTGACACAAACACATAAAAACTGTAGATAAATAGCATAAATAAATCTTTTTCGCATGTGTGTGGCCACAGAAGTATATGTAAATTAATTTCAAAGCTTACGCATACTCGCATTGATACATATAAGGAATTTATGTATGCAAATAATTACATATGTGTGTACGCCTATTAAAGACATATTTGTATTGAGAGATAAATGAAATTGCGCCTGGCCCTGCACTTGCTTCGACATAAAAGCTTTGTCCATGTAAAATCAACCACATGCTTACATAATTTCAAAAAGTGTTTTGTGCATACTATATATATGTATGCAGAGGGAAAACTTTTGCTGCCTGCATAAATTATTTAAGTAGAACAAGGCTATAAACAAAGCTAAAAGACAAGAGAGAGTGCATTGTAAAAAGAAATATATTTATGTGCGAATGTTTCAGCTCTCGACATTGACAACGACGCCAGAGAATGGCCGCCATTGTGGTCGCAGCTGGCTAGAATTTTGAAATAGCTAAATTTTTGGCATGTTGCCAAAATTATATGTGCAGCCGCACTGGCAACATAATGAAAAATATGCGAAAGAAGATGAGTGCAACTTTTGAGGCTGAAAATATTAAAGGCTGACAGTAAAAGCGCTTGTAGTAGATTTATGTTAAACAATTTGCTGGTTTGTGTGTTGAAGTGACAATTCGTGGCTGTATGCGCCTAAAACTATGCTGCAGCACTAGTTGTATATTATTTTTCTCCGAGCAAACAAACATTTTTTAAACGTACTATTTTTTATTTTTATTTTTAGTTCTTATTTGCCTGCCAACACGCCTTTTAGCCGCTTGCGCAAACTTTTCTAAAGCTTTTGTTTCCTTTCTTGTCTAAGTTCATCTCACATTTTTTTCGCATTTCTTTTCAGCACATTTTGTTTATGAGTAGACGTAGAGAAGTAATGCAAAATTAAAAAAAAAAAAAAAAATATTTGCAAACTACAACAATAAACATGCCGTACAAAAGTTGCTTAGCTCTGCTGGCGCCCAAAGACTTTGGGGAGTGAAAACTTTTACATGAACCTTGAACCTTTGCCGTTGTGTTTGCTTGGCTTTTGTCTTAATGCCGCTAAGAAGAGCCAACTTGCCACGTCTTGTTGAACAACAAGCGAACATACAAATACATTTGTGTTTGAATTTTTTCATCAATGTGTGTAGGCATTACACAATATATATATGTGTGTTCGCATATTTATATATGTCCACGCTTTCAAGCACACTTTGTGCCAAGAAAAAATCAATAACATGAAAACGAAATAAGAAAAACAAAACCATGCGGGCTTACGATGGTGGTAGTGGTGCACGAAATGAGCACAAATGGTCACATGGCAGCGGCAAATGTGCTATTTACTGGCGTGTATTTTGACATTACTCATTTGTGTAAATATATAAAAATAACTGAAAATGTTTAAATCTAGCTTTTGTTGCTATAAATAAATTATTTTTTTATGGCCACAACAGTTTTTGGTAACGATTTGCACCCGAAAAAGGTGTAATAAATGTAAAAAAAATAATAATAATAACAGTATTTTGCTTTCATTGTGCCTTAAATTATGCATTATTTTTTATTTTGTTATTTAAAGAAAATGTGAATTCCTCAGATATTCTTAAGCCAATCACCAAATCGTTCAAATTAGCATAAAATTTACCTTTTTAACTACATTCGATATTTTAGGCACATATAAATTCATCAAATTACTCTTAAAACCATAACATATGTTAGCATTCACGTGGCCTACATTTCGGCTGAGTTTAGTTGAAAATGTTTTCTTAATTTTACACATTAAAATAATTATTTTAAACACTTACATGAAAATTTCGTAGTTGTTCAAGCGTTGTTGTGTTACATATTTTGAAGTATTTTAGTAGTTAGAGGTATTTGTTAGTAGTAGTAGACGAAGTGAAGTTTAAAGAAATAACAGTAAATTTAAAGTTGAGCAGTGTTTAGGTAGTGTAAAGTGGCCAAGTAACCATAGAATAGTAGTTGACAGTGTAGAAAAATTTTAAGTATCTTTGAAAGTTAGTATAAATTAATTTTTGGAAGAATAGCGACGGTAAAGAGTGAGTATTAAAGTCAATATTGAAAAAAAATTTTAATTTAACAAACTTTCAATGTCAGGAGATAATTTTTTTTTGTACCGACAAGTCTTAGGAAAAATTATGGGAAAATATTTGTGAAATTATTATTGTGAAAAATTTATTTTGAAACCTAAGTCGAGTTATAAATAAATTTTTAATTCTTTTATATGCGGTTTATTTATCAACACGCATTAAATACTGGTTTATGTTCATCTTTTTACAAGAGTTTGATTTATTAAATGGATTTCGAATTACCATTTAATGAAATTTCCATTTATGAAACTTCCTTTTAAATTAGAAATTGAATTTATTTATTTTTGAAACTGTATTGAAATGGATTTTTGTTGTGCTAGGACAGTACAATTTGAAATATTTTGGATTAAAACACCACAGAACAGATTTTTGTTCTCTGTTTTAGTGATTAGATTTTAGATTTTCAGCTTTTATTTGTCGAAAAGTATTAAAAAAAAATAAAAATTAAGTTGTAAGTGATAGTGCTTGAGAACTGGCAAAATTATGTTTTTAAAACTATTGTACTGTACAAAATATTTTTTTTCCAAATATTGCAATATGCCCAAAATTTGTTGTAAAAGAATTCTCTTTGCTTTGAACTAAATTTTTCTGAAGCTTAAAAATGAACTTTCAAAAAATGTAATGCTCAATTCTTTTCTGAAAAATGATTTAAAAGAGTTTTACTGCACACTTAACTTTCGAAAAATTATTTTAAAAAAATTCATGCTCACTTAATTTTTGAAAATCAATTTCTCAACACTGACAACTTTCGAAAGAAAAAAATTTCTTCATTTCAAAAATCATACCAATGAAATTCATGATTCCTTGGCGCTTTCACTAAATACTATCTCGTTGTTGAGCCCGTTTTGTATGTGTTATATTCTGGAATACGCGTTACGTAGTGACGCCGCCGCCGCTGCCGCTTTGCTTTAGCCTACAATTAGGCGCACACAATTACGGACGTTACTATTGCACACTTGAGCTGCACGCAATTGCAAGCAATATTATATTATGCGCTATGCTGTGCTAAAGGCAGCCGTCCGTCTACCCGTCTGACTGTCCGTCACTAAGGCCACTGAATTTAGTTTCGTTGCAGTCGCTTACACAGCGACTGTCACGCCTCACAGCCTTTAGCCGAAATCGTCGTATTTAACTTCGTCGTCGCTTTCGTGATCGTCGTTTTGTTCGTCGTTGTCGTTATCGTTACTTTCGGCCACTACTCCGACTGTGTCACCACTATTTCGTTGTTGTATTATTGTTGTTGTTTGCTTTGTATGCGTTACACAGTTGCATGTGTGTATATGTGTGTTGTTGTCGGTGTTGATATTAGCAACAACTGGTGTTGCTGCTGCCAGCAGGTACAACTTGGACTGACGCACTTTGTGCACTGAACTGACGACGGCCATGGCACTGGCTGTCAACTGACGACCCAGAAGAATGTCCAACGACTGCTGTGACTGGTTTCTGAAGTCGCATCTACGAAGCATCAACGCTGGAAAACCTCTGCTGCTGCTGCTTCTGCCACGCTGCTGCTGTCGCTCGGAGAATGAAGCAGCGTGTAGCCGAAGTTCGGAGTGTGGTTCAGCGGTGGTGGAGAGCGTAGCGAAGTGCTCGCTCCCTTGCGACCGAACAAGTAACTTCGGCTGATGTATTGAAGGCAGTTATTAGCGACCGCTTGCCTGTTGACTTGCTGACCGAGCGACCGACTAAACTTTGTTTTGTAATTTCAAATTAAGTTGCGTGAAGTAAAAAAAAAAAAATGTTGCCTGGTCGCAGGTTGAATTGAGGAGCCGGGAAACTTTTCTATTCAACAAATTACTCTTCCAACTTTTTATTGCCGACTTTTAGGCGTAACTTCACTTTTAGAGGTATACTTGCAGACCACTTGCTGTGCTTTGTACTGTTTGCGTTAAACTTCAAACTTCAACTGTTCAATGCGTGCTGTGTGTGCTAACGCTTTGGGTGCCCTTCGACTTCTCACGCTTAATTCGCAAACCTGACAACGAAGTTAGGTGTTTGCGCCCGCTGCTGCGGCCTGAGTCGGAGTCTGTGCAAATACACAGCATCATAGCGCATAGGTGGAGTCGTACGCCATGGGTCCCCCCTGCTGTCGCACAAACCTCGTTCGCTGCGGAAGTTAGCAGAAGTGAATCGCTAAAGACAGCAAAAGCAGCAACTCGGCCGAGTGATAACGACGTTTCAATGCGTACAGCAGCTTAGGGGGTACCAAAGAGGGCTGTCGGAGCGCGAGCGATGCATTAAAAGACGGAGAGCGTAAAATTTAGCGTGCGATGCGCAAGACCATTTCTGTACTGCTGTGGGTGGGTGGCTGTAGAATTCAGGGCTCTGCGAGTGAGTGTAAAAGAGAGCGCATACCGAATGTACTCAGTGAGTGTTTGCGCATACGATTGTAGTGCTGAGACGAAATGTTTTGCTTGCGGTCGGTGGGATACCTATGGCTTGGTCACATGTTCGAATGTCTTACATTTGTTTGTACATACTTTTTATTCGCAGTTGTATCACTCTGTTGAAATTCGAATAAGGGTTGATTGTTTGGGGCAAAGTTATCAGTTAGCAACGCAGTAAGCGTCAAACGCTAACTTTGGTGCTTCCACCGACTGCTGCTGTGGTGCGTCGCAGTTCGCGCTCAACTCAAATGTAGCGCACTCTCAGTCACTTGGCCCTAGAAGGCTTAAGCTCTACTCGTGAGTGTTATCTTCTTTCTCACGCACGTGCTACCAACAACTGCCTTGTTGTGGTATAAAATGAGCATACTTTTAGGTGCAAATGCTTACTGGTATAAGTTTTGAGTAAATAAGTAGAGTGTGGATTATTTTTATGCGTTCTTGTTTTTGTGAGTGTTTTCCTGAATTCATTTATTTAAGCTTGAGTATATGCTATAGAGTGTAAATTTGAAATGAATGAGCGATTTCGCTAATCACGTGCGTAAGCCTTGAGCTTAAACTCAACAAAGAGTATACTTTCGAGTAGATAAATGCAAGTTATTATTTTTATAGTGCGGAAAAAAGTTAAACTAGAATATAAAATATAATTTCAAGTTGTTATTAGTAATAATATTATATAATTGTATAACTTTGCGTGGGGGTAAAATTGGTCTCCTTTTTTATATAATGATGAAAACGGGTTTTTGGTTTTTACTTCAGATATTTTTTATTGTATATATGGAGATCAAATTATTTAATTCATTTGGTTTTATATAATTGACAGGATTTTGAATTTGGTTTATATTCATTAGTTAAGATAGCAATTTTGATTGTTATAAAAAGGTAGATTGTATGTTTCTAACAATTTTTAATTTAAATGTTTAAACTAAAGTGACGAAGAGCGATAAGCGATTCACGGTGTTGAGGCACTGCGGGTTGAACATCGAATGTGTCGATGGTAGTGCTTACGGCTATATTAGCCGGGTATAAATTACAAGAAAAAGGTTGCGGGTGCTGATGATTTGGCGACACTGGGCAGCCCGATGAACACCTAGCGGCGTTGCCACCCGCGAAGGACGACCATGGCTTACTCCGAAAACGTTAGGAGGTCCATGTCCTCAACAATAATATTCAAACGAATTAATGATTTAAGATGAACTTTTTTAATAAAGTATTTTTCTCTAACACCAGGAAATCGTGGTAACTGATTTTTATATCTAAAGGCTGACTTAAGTTAGTAATTTCGATCAGGATGTTTAGATTATTTTTAAGGCACAAGGCACAAGGCTCAAAGTTAGGTCATATTATTTGTTCACTTCGAGCTTATAATTATATTTTTAATATAAATTAATTCTTTTTGTTTTTATATTGTTCTACGTTTTTTTATTTATATTATATAATTGGGGCTTTGTAATCGCTGAAGCGGCTTTCGTCTTCCTCCAATTTGTGGTTTTGCGTCTTAATGCTTTTCCAACAAAATGAAGGGACCTACAGTTAATAATAAGCCACCTGCGTATAGCTGATGTTTTTTTTTATGAGGATTTTTTATTTCAAGTCAGAAATATACTCGGAAGCCTTGAGATTACCTGCCGAGGGGCGACCGCGATTATAAAATTTAACTAAATTTTATTTAAATAAATGCTCCATAAATATGGGATGTGAGTCACACCAGGATTTGAACTCGGGCAATACTAACCACTGGGCTACTGCCGCCTTAATTATATTTTCGATTTAAATTAAATTTATTTATTTTATTTAATTTAATTTTGTTTTATGTTATTTTATTTTACTAAATTTTTTGCTACTTTATTTTGTATTATTTATATATCATTTTATTTCACTGTATTTTATTTTATTTTATTTCTTTTATTTGATTTTTTATTAATGTTTTGTTTTTTTTTTCAATTATTTTTTTTTTGTTTTATTCTGTTTTATTTTATATTTGTTCTATTTACTTTATTTATTATAAATAGTTTAATTTTATTCAATTTCATTTTATTTAATTTAATTTTTTATTTCAACTTTTTTATTTTATTTTGTTTTATTTCTTTTTATTGTATCATATTTTATGTTGTTTTATTTTACTTTATTTTTTTTTTTTTTTGATTTTATTTTATGTTTCATTTAATTTTTATTGCATTTTATTATATATTATATTTTATTTGTTTTTTATGTCATTTATTTTAATTTAATTTAGTTTTGTGTTATTTTATTTATTTTAACTTATTTTATTTTATTTTTTTAGTTTAATTTTGCTCAAAATTTATTTATTTTTTTTTATATATATTTTATTTTTTTAATTCTGATTTTATTTATTTCCTACAGCAGATATTCATTCATATTACATTAAGGGCTTGTAAGCTTGCCTTGCAAAACTCATTTAAAACCGGAGGGTTGAGGCAGAGCCACTGGAGGACGCACGTACATACACGAATACTCAATCAAGTGATGATTGCATATTCAACGTCCATTTGCCATGGCGATTATTACTCACTATAATCTAAAGATAATGGTATTTTACCCACTGATTACTTTACGCGTTTCCTGCGTGTCATGATGATGATGAGGTTACTTAAATCGAAAAACACTTAGCAACTTTTTTTTGCACCCCCAACACTTCAGTGCGACTTCCGTTGAAAATCAACGACTTCAGAGATATGCAACCCACACTTACACAACACACACACAAACACATACATAACTTACCCTATACACTATAGCTCACAACTAGTCATTGTCGTCCTGAACAAATAATCCTTTTTCTGCATACAATAAAATGAAATAGAAAAAAATTAAGTGGGAATTTGCACAAGAGTAATAAATTCCATGAAGTACTAGAAGACAATCAGGCGAAAATATGCTAAGAAAATGCGGACAATTATCTGTAGGCCTTTTTCGTTTTTCTTCAGTTTTTTTTGGGGGGGGGGGGGGTGTCCAACTATAAGCTTTTTCTTCGCAGCTTAGCTGGCATTTGCCACCAATGACAACTGGAGCTATTTTATTTCTACTTTATCTTACTTAGAGGGTAAGGCAGATGATATAAGCATTATAAATGAATATTATTATCCTGGTGTGTGTATGTAGTGGGCATGTGTTGGTCATAGCTAAAATAGTTGGTTGAGGAGTACAAGTCATACACAGAATTTCAACAAGTGGAATGTGTGGTAGCTAAGGGAAACATGGCTAAGAAATACCTAAATATTAATTTACAAATAGCTGAAAGCTTAAGGTTTCTGAGTACTGAATGCGCGAGTGAAAGAGTCAAATATTTTATAATAGCCATTACGGCATTATCAGTGGATCGAATTAATTAATTGAGTAGTCTTAAACTATTTTCAATTTGTTTTTAATTTAATTTAATTTGATTTAAATTGAGAAATTCCTTTAGAGGAACATGTGTCGCACAGATGTCAGATATGAACAGCGACAGGAGCAGTCTTCAATAAATTCTTCCTCCTTTTCGACCCTACATATGCGACAAAAATCCTTATAGTTGTAATTCTAGTCAAATCTGTCCGGTCACGTCGCATGTGATCTCATTCAGTCATTTAGTTTTTGCTATTTTTGGTGAAGAGGTACACCTGCACCCTGTGCATGGCTTATTGTGGTTAGATGGGTTTCCCCTTCGCTAGTTTGTCTGCCGTGCCCACATTGAGCGTGCTGCTACTGTAAACTTTCACAGTCATCAGCCGCATCCTTGATAGAAAAGAGTTTTTCTTGAAAGACCCTGAAATGGTATGAAAGTCTAATGCTGAATAATATATTTCACAACCTGGTTAAGCGTCTGCTTAAACAGCGATACGAATGTAACTGCCGTGCGTGTGGAATTCCCCGTCTCTTCCCACTATTTCCGTGTGCCCCATCACGCGCCAATTCCTCTATCCTTTTTGGCCAAATTTCGTTAGCCGATCGACCGCTTAGCGGCGGCCGTTCGAGCTAACGAAAAAGCACTCTAAGTCTAACAACCCTCGCTCGCGCACGGCAGCCTTAAACCGCGGTCTCTCATATTTTCTATATTTAATAATTTATCAAAATTAGTTAAATTAAATAATTTGTAAAAGTAAATTTGTGAAAATAAATTAAGTGAATTTCTTTTATTAAATTTGTGAAACAACTTTTAAATTGGAAAAAAGTGTTTTTTTTTTATTTAAACTATGGGCCCGCTCGACAGCCGGCATCCCCTTACTTCCCCTCAAGTCCTTGTGGACTTGAACACTTATCAATTCTATTTAATAACAAAAAATTTAAATTTGGAGTCAGATTCGTGGTGGGAACCCAATCACTATCTTGTCGCAGATACGTACGCGCGCACGTGCGGACTGAGGTAGACACCGAGAGCTAAAGAGGGAACCTAAAGGCATTTGTATGAAAAAAAAGAAAGAGGAAAAGACTTCTACAGCCTTCTAAATGACAGTGACAATGAAACTCCAATTGATGACGATGGAAAAGTTTTTCCCTTACCCGACTATGACTAAGTTCGAATAGCAATCGCCTGCTTAAAAAACAAAAAAGCGCGGGAACCAATGAATTACCGGCCAGCTATTTAAATACGGCAGTGAAGAACTGATCAGGTGCATACATCAGCTTCTTTGCAAAATATGATCGGATGAAAGCATGCCCGACGATTGGAACATAAGCGTGCTCGGTCCAATTCACAAAAAGAGCGATCCTAAAGTCTGCGCCAATTACCGTGGAATAAGCTTCCTTAATATCGCATAAAAGGTCCTATTAAGCATATTGTGTGAAAGAAAAAAGCCTACCGTCAACAAACTAATTGGACCTTATCAATGTTGCTTCAGACCTGCTAAGTTTAGCATTGACCAGATATTTACCATGCGCCAAATCTTGAAAAAGAGGATCGACACACACCACCACTGCGTCGATTTAAAGACGTTTTCGACAGCACGAATAAGAGCTGCCCACACGCCGCTATGTCTGAATTTGGTATCCCTGCAAAACTTATACGACCGTGTAAATTGACGCTAGAGAACACCAGAAACGCAGTCAGAATTGGGAAGGACCTATCCGAGCCGTTCGATACCAAACGAGGTTTCAGAGAAGGTGACTTTATCGTGATGCTGGAGAAAATTATAAGAGCTGCAGAGCTGAATGGAGAAGGAACAATCTTTTACAAAAGAAAAGTCCTCAAGAGAAAAGTTTTGTTTGAAAATTGTAATGCGGCTAGCTCAAGAAATTTATCAGTGAGCATATTTTTTTATAATTTCATATTCAAAAAAAAAAATTAATTTGCGAAGCTGTCGAAACGCTACTAATTGCTCGAGGTGAAAAGAGAGCGGAACATAAAAGATCGTTCAAATATCCTGATGTACATGGAAACAATGTTAATTTAAAAAATCTGGATTTTTTTTTTTGTTCTGATGTACACTGGGGTACCGTTAGTATGTACATCAGTATAATTTAATTCATGATTTATTTAAAAATATGTTCGAAAGAAAATTCCCGAGAGGGTGGAATTTTATTATATAACAGTTCTTAAAGATGCAGAAAAGAATGATACAAAAAATAATGCAGATCTTCTACGAATTTTAATCTGTTGAATAAATTTTTGAATTTTCTTTCCTTTTTGTATAATTTAAAGAGGTGTTGAAGCACGATTGAGATATTTGTTTCTCAAATAGCCAACATAACCAATAGTATAATACATATGTATGCATGTATGTAAGTACAACATGAATATTGGGAAACTAATTTTCACTTTAACCACCCAACAATTGCCAGGGGAAACGAAATTTGTTTATTATGTCTTAAATATTTACGATGTCAAATTAATTTAGCGTATAAAGCAGACGTGAAAACTTGAGCTATGTGCTCCAGAGAATTTGAAAAAGAATCATATAAAGAAAAGTGTGAAGAACAATCTCATTTTACTCATAATGAGCATGAGACAACCACTGAAGCCATTACGGATGAAATCGCGGAAGAAAAAATTAATATGAATAAATTTTTAGATTTCATGAAAGTTTCTTGCCACGTTAATGATGTTATATCAAAGCAAACTAATCAGCAAAAAACGAAATTAAAGGGCAGGTTGGAAGATTTTCAAACAGATGCTCCAAAGGACGAGTTGAACTTTGAAAAATTGGTGGACAAGGAATTATTCCATGACATTTTAGCACAGAGTTTTCAAAACAAAGTGATTCCCCCAAAGACTGGTGAGATTAATGGTCCAACCCCAAGCGGAACAAAAAACGATGTTAGTTCTTCAGAAAGACGTTCTACAGCTGGATTGACTATTGGTTCCTTTTCCCGACGGAAAGTCAATAAAGCGAATTCCGAAGAGCAGCACGAATCTGTGCAATCAAAATTATATAAAAAATTAGACTACGTTATTAATGAGGGAATGGTTGACTCAGTACTATCTTTCATTTGCCCAATACCAGTACCAACATCTTTTCCAAATCATTTAAAACCGAAACATAAAAAGGAGCCAATAAATACCAAACAGACACCTGTAGAAAACACGGATTCCATCATAATAAACGGTAATACAAAAGCTAATGAAACTGAAGGTGTGTCAGATGTGAATATGCCCACTTGCGACTCTGCCTCGAACGATATGAAGTTCATGAAGAAGTTAACGAATATAAGGGATAAAAGAGAGTATGGCACCCACATCCTTAACTGTAAATACGTATCTAATGATTTATTTATTAATTTTTACTTATTACAGGCCGGAAATCATTATTCATGTATGTGATGAAGTGAAAAATACAACAAGGGATTTTACCTGCTCGCAAAGATTATTAGTAAGCAAGATGGGTTACTTTGCCGAAGTAACAGGAGGTCAAAAGCTTGATGAGATGGACATTTCGGTGCATTGTGATATACAAATATTCGATTGGTTAGTAAAGTGGATGAAATTAACAGATTTTTTGGAATCGTCTGGTTCCAGAAAAACAGCGATTGAAGGCGCAGAAGACATGCCGCAATTGGATGCTAACAATGTTATCCCCATTCTTGTTTCTGCTGGATTTTTGCAAGTAAGTTTTTTTGTTTTCCTTAAGGCAAATATTCGTTTATGAAGAAGAGCTACCGCGTAAGATTCCAAAAAACTTCCGAAGAGGTTTTAAGAAATGGTTACACTGCAAAACATTTAGCTCCAGAGGTTAAAGAAAAAAATTTAAATTTTAAAATTTGTACATATGTATGTCAACACACATACTCGTTTTTGAATAATGTACATAAATAATCAGCGCTTAATGCCCGCTTAAGCGATTGTATGCTGAGCTCAGCTTCCAGTTTGTTGTGTTCGTCTTGATGCATTGACCGCCAAATATAAATTACAATTTGCTGGCTAATTTTTACTAAACCCTGTTTGGCCAAATCTCAGTAAATTTCTTTCCTTAAGAGAGTAAAACATTTTAATCTGTAAATTTTTTTTTACTGACGTTTCTCAGCTATTGAAATGATAAAAGTAATGAAATTAGGAGCACAGTCCATAACTCTTTGTAGCAGTTTTTTGATTTGAAAAATATGTATTGGAGCATTTGAACAAGCACAGAGAATTGCAAAACTAAATATGTCTGTATACACATACAGTTACTCACAAAAATGAGTATACACAGGTTGTCGTAAGAGAAATACACAAACTATGCAAAATTTAATGAATATATTTGAATTATTTTGATGCCAATTTGAAGCTTGAACTATTATCGACTATATTTGAAGCTAAATTAATTAATTTGCTTAGCATTAAGAAAAACTTAAACGAAAAACTAAAATTATTGATAAATTCAGGTCACAAAATTGAGTATACACTCACATTTTAAATGTGGCATCTCTGGATATCTTTTTGTCCGTTAAGTGATCACGTTAGCACTGAACTACATTTCAAAGATTTTGTTGCGTGTTAGCCTTAATAAAGAGGAATTTTTTGTGATCTCTGTAATTCTATAATAAGGCGCGATGCAATCATTTTACTATGGTACAGGTCTAGGATTTTAGAAAAGCAATTTTTTTTCTTACAGAGTACCTTTGGGTTCTAGAAATGATAAGCAATTGGTTTTAAAGTGAAACAAATATTTCAAATCGCTGAACTTTTTATTTTGCTAAAGCCCCTCAGAGCGTGCGGATTACAGATTATTCGGACCATATTGCAACAATTTATCTGAAAATTTGATGATAGCTTCACAAATATATTCATATTTATTTTTTTTGGAAGTACGTAGCATTTTTCGATTAAATGAACATTTTTTTTTAATAACTTAGTACGTTTTCGCAAAAATTAGTTAAAAAACAAATCCGTACGTACTTCCAAAGACCATAGTTTCAATTTTCATTTTTATATGGTACTAAGATTTGGCCACAAGAATCTTGGCACCGATTCGGTGAGCTTAAATGCCAAATTTCGCACTAAAGATTGTCTCTTTACTAAATATTTTCTTTTACAAACTAAACAAATTACAACTTACTTCGAATTTAGTCTATGCGAATTTGTTATTTGGATTTTGATGAATTTAAATATTTCAGTTGGATACTGACGTCTTCCGACTGACATATATGTATATATTTATGCAATAAAACAAGTTTTAATCATCCTAATAAATAATTTAATGTCCTTAATTGATTTATCTGTGTTCTTGTTTTCATATACGCTAAAGATGGAACCATTAATGATAGATTGCTTATCATTTTGTCACGCTCGGTTATGTGATGTGGTGCGTTGCTCGTTAAATCTCTCATGTTTGAATGACTCAATAATTACACGCCTAGCGGCTATGTTCACTAATTTAGAATTGGAAATGGTGCGTGACAAAAAAGAACGTTTAGTGCCACGATTATGGATTAAACTAATTCAAAGTCTTTGTGAACCAGAACCGGAAGCGTTACGAGGCCATTCCTACAGTCTGGCAGGATTGTTTCGTTGTTCAAGGCAAATTTACAAATATTTGAATGCTTATGCTATACTAATTATGTGAATTTTGTGTAGATGTGGAGAATATCTTACAAATACAATTAAATCCTTCATAGCTTGCCAACCGAATAACACCCGTTTAACACGCTGGGGTCAACTGAGTAGCCATCATATACGTGATAGTTTGTGGAATATGAACAATTTTATTTCTCAGATTTTTAAGGAACGTAGGTCATGGCGCCGTGTTTATTGGAAACTGTGGAGCCATTGCCATTTTCTATATTGTTGTATTTGCGAGACGCATTTCCCCGTTTACAAAGTAAAATGTTCTGCATAATTGTTATTTTTTAATTTAATGACGACACTATTAATATTTGCAGATGGCGTGGTGTCGTTTTCATCCATTAAGTCCAAATTATTTGGAATCAGCTGCGGACGACTTTATACCTGGTCCTATAGGTCGTTATCCATGCTGTGGCAAGAAAGCATTTAGGTTTGAAACATTTCCCGAATCGAATGTAAGTATTGTATATATTTCCATTTTCATTTCATTTAATTGATTTCAGTTCAGGCATTAGTACAATAAGATTTAATACTTAATAGTACAACAAGGATTACTGAATATTAAAAAAGAAAGACTTACTTAGAATCACAATTCATTTATGTAATCTTTAGTTTTATTTAGTAATCCTTTCTTTATTACTTAATGTTAAGCTTGATTACAGGCGGTATTTTTAATGTTTGTTATGCTGTTGAACTGAAAAAGATTATGTAATTTTATGGTACTTGGTACTTTAGTATTTGCCAAATGAAATAAATAAATTCATATTGCTGCATGTAACACAATGAATTAAACAGAGATAACACAGATACATAAAGCACATTATAGCATAATCACACACTGTATTAGGCTCACAATCAGTTATTTATTCATTTAATTAATGAAAAAATAAACTTTACTTTTATATACAAATAATGTATAATAATGGCAAAGTAGATATTTATATGGCACAACTGTCGTGAAACTCACTTTCCACAACGAGACATTGCCATAATGGGCTAAACTTAATCCACTTTGTCGAGGCGCGAAATACTAGAAGTCTGCACAAGAATTTTCATCAAGCTAACTGGCTGTGTCCAAGTCGAAAAACTCATAACTATATCGATCACGTTATGATAGACAACGACACGGTTCCAATGTTCTAATATATTAGAACGTTCCGCGCACCTAACATCGATTTGGATCAATATCTTATCGCAGCGAAGACACACACTCGCCTCTTTGTATCAATGAATGCCCGTGAATAAACTCAAGGAAATTCGAATTGAATGGCTGCGAACTTAATTGACAGTCATTCGGTCTTGTACTCAGCACACCTGCTTCCTGAGAGCACTCATCAGCTACTTAGCCCGTTATAAGAGAACTGTGGAAGATATCTCAAACTCCCTACGTACGGCCACTAAAATTGATTTTCGGCAGTGCCAAAAAAGAGCTAGTACGATGAGTAATATCGAACTTCAGTGTGGAGAAAATAGATTGTTTATCTCGCAGCCTTGCGACACACATATGTGGGGTGAGATAAAAGGGCTCTACCCTATCCAAAAAGGCCACTGGCTGCGTCGATTACCGTGGGATTAACCGTCTAAATATTTCATTGAATCCACCGTCGACAAACTGATTGGACCATATCAGTGTGATTTTAAATCCACAATTGACCAGATATTCACCATGCGTCAATTCTTATAAAAAATCCATAAGAAAAGAATCGATGCTCACCAGATACGGTGACTCTTTATAATGTGATTCGAATATCAAGAACCATTAGACGTCATGACGGACCTACACATATTTCCCGATTCCTTAACCAAAAGTTTAAAGGTTCTTTGGGTAGATCCTTGAGCCACTGATATGCCTTAGCCAACGAACAAAACCTTCGTTACAAGATAATGTGGTTGTTTTGAGCGCAATTCAATGGTTTAAATAATAAGATGTAATAATTTCTGATTTTTAGACATTCAAAAAATTTACAACCTAAGCCATAAGCATAACTACTACCATGATGCAAAAAAAGGAATGTAGTTTCCAAGGCAAATTTACACACGGTAGTAGCAAACATACAAAAACAAAAAGCCTATGTATTTTGTTTGTGTAACCGTAACGAAAAACGAAGTTCGTTCAATATATTTGGTTGGTGTAATAAAAAGTTCGTAATGTCAAAGCCAATTTCTTATGCATTTTGGTTGTGTAGTTTGTTGAAATGGAAGGTAGAACAAGCATGGTGGGACAACTTCACCTTCTCTAAATTCGCCTTGGTAGTTTAACTCAATATAAAATTGACAGAAAGAGATTTTTTAACAATATAAATTTCATTATTTTATTTTAACTTCAAGATATTGCCACTTTAAAAATATTTCATATAATTTTTTACAAAAAAATGCTTCAGGCGTCTTAATTTTATTTTCATTAGATTTCAGAAAATACAGCCTTTGGGTTTTTTGAGTATGTTTTAGTTTTCTGTAGTTTTTTGTTTACATTGAAAGGTTTTGCTTTTTTTGTAATATATTTGTTTAATTTTTGAAAGTTAAGAATTTGATTTTTAAAAGATGAAACTGGTATCACAAAAATAAAATAAAAGTCAAAAAAAACTTTTTATCTCAGATGGTTAATATTTTTGCAAAATTTTTGAGTGAAACTGATTTGTTTTTGTATAATGGCGCCTACTATTATTCAAATCGCAATTTCAAAGCGCCAATGTATATGTGTGGACATATATCATATAATATACATTTTTTGAGAAAACTGGGAGTCCAACTCAGAATAGACGACAATAGGTAAGATAGTTGACGCTCAAGCTTTTGTTTGATAAGAGTTGGGTAAATTTAGCAGACTTCCTTAAAAATATTTACATTAGAGTCATCGTAGAGGCTCACAAGTATGGAAAGCGCCATTTTGTTTGTTTACATTGCAAAACAGTTGAGATCATCTGATTTCTAAATCTTTTTCATTATTTACTTTTCTTCGACATTTCGTATTTAAATTTTCCGCATTCTATGATGATTCGCTAACTGATTATTTACTCTCCTTTTTAGTACGACATTCCCTTTTTGTTGATTCTTTCATTGTCTCCGTATTTATTCTGACAATCATTCTTTCCAATAATATCCGCTTCATCTACGTGTAGTTTGCCTGTCAACTTGGCCGTAGCTCTCATGATTTTATATTTGACTGGCAAACCCCGAGCTTAACAGGCAAATACGAGTTGACAGATTTCACAAGATTCCATACTTGTAAACCTCTACGATGATTAGAGTACTTAATATTTACTTTGACCATGATGAAATCAATGTGACCGGCACACGACCCATCGGGAAATAGGAAATGATTTCGATATAAGTTCGCAGTAATTCAGGAGATCATCTGCATGAACATGTACATACCGGCAAGGCTTGAAGATATCAATGGTAAAAGCTGAATTTTTTTTTGTGAGGGAACTAAGACAATCTTCACACGCTGTATTCTGCGTGAATAATAACTTTTCAATGAGGGACAGAGAATTTTCTCAAAAGCGAAGTAGTATATGAGCTTAGAGCAGAGCATTGAATTATAAGCATTAACAAAAATATTCATATTTGCAATAGGAAATTCGTAAGATATCTAAAATTTCAACCATTGCGGTAGCGCATCCAAGCTCAGCGTTAAAGCCTGATTGGAAAGGGAAAAGCAAACGACTTTTAGTATGTATGATAAGAAATTTGTTCAAACTTTGGGAATTCATATAAAAGAACGGAAAGTATCTTTAGAGTCGTGTAATAAACTTCAAGGGCGTATTAAAAATCTCCTCAATTTATGCTGAGGTTTCTAAAACTCTATACATTTTCTAAAGCCCAGCTCTATAAATTCAATTGACGTCTTTTAAATGACCAAGCTTATTGATCATTTAATCTGACCTCACCCCGTTTTATTTGAAATGTTCGAAATTCAAGGAAAGAAGGAACAGGCTTAATGTGCTTTTTTAGTGTTAATTTTAACCATATCGGCAACACAAGCTAAAGTTAATAAAATATTTACAAATAAAAAATAAAATAGAAATGTTTTACTCACTAGGGCTGTCATTTTCGTGAACATAGCGTCCTTGCTGTAACTGACCGGGAGCGCCAGATATTGCAAATAATGCAAGTTGTATCTGATGATTGTGTCATCTGTGATCCCCCGGACGAAAGCATTCTAACAGCGGACATTACACCATTTTGGACAGGTGTTTCACTTACACCGCAACAATGCAGACAAGGATTATTACCAGCACTTAACGCAGGAGGTAATAAATTTCATTACCTTGAAATAAAATACATATTTAAGCAAAATCATCTTATATTATAGAACACACTACTAAAGTAACTCGTCAATTGGGACAAGACGGGATTTCGTTTATTGATGATTTCTGTAGTGACAGCAGCGGCAGCGATTCAACTGATAATATAGATCGGCAAGGTCGAAAAAATAATAAATTTTTTTCAGAGATCGATTTCAGTAGTGACGGCTGCGAATCTGAAAAAGCAGGCTTAGAAGCTTTACATACAAAGAAATTGAAAAAGAAGTATTAAAGGACAAGTACATATATATGAATTCAAAGCTTTTTACAACACTAAATCTTTCTAGGCCCAGTGTCAACTCTGGTCGAAATTGGTATGGAGACCTGTCTGCACGAAGTAATCAGGATCATCAGCGAGAATATGAAGAAAAAGCTTTAAAACAGATTACATTACAAATGAATAAAAATTATGGTTTGGAGAAAGGTATCCTTCCAGCCGGACCAATAGGCGGCTTTTATGTACGCTTAGAGGCTGAATGGAAAGACCAATTAAAACATCGAACTTCTTCGAATCCTACGAGCACTCCCTCAACTTCAATTGTCGGAAAGCATAAGAATAAATATCAGAGCTAAGATTATTTTATAATATAATATGTTAAGAGACCTACAGCTAAATATCGGTTATACATACATATGTGCCGTCACAGTTTTCTTAAAAATTAAAACTAAATCTTAATAAATTATTATTTGAGCTGTTTTATTACTTAAGCATGTTGAACAAACTTAAAGAAAATTATATAAGCGAAGACGAGATGTGTTGTAAGGTTCCGTGCAATAAGATTTGCAGCAGAAACAATTAATTACTTTCAATTAATACTATTTTTACCCTTAGTACTGAGATATTCTGTCAAGGATTTTTAAATGATTTCTTTTGCCCTCTGAAACCCTTTAGTAGCCAAATTTTTATAAAATAAAAAGTAAAAATGTAATTCTTGGTTGACTGATTCTACTCCTTTAAATTGAGAATATATATTTATTAACTTTTATATTTGGGTCTTATAAAAAAGATATTTATGTTTGCTATTTAATAAAATTAAACTAGAAAAATAAATATAGTCCTTTCATTCATTTCTTTTATTAATTTAAACATAGAATAGACATAAGAATAGATTGAATTTATCATTTATGAATATTTGAATGAAATATTCTTTTACTAAATTTTTAATATTTGCTACGAAATTTTTTTTTAAAAGGTTTGTTCTTATAATTAATCACACACATCCAGAAAACGTGATAACAGAAAAATATATTGGTATCTTCAAAGAAAGTAGTCGGTCCCAGGAGTTCACTTCCTCTTCATATCATTTTTCGTTGACGAATATCAATAGTTGGGGAAATATAGCACAATTCGCTTTGAAATTTTGCTTTTACGGCGATTAAACCGAGGAAGGCAACTATTAAAATTGTGATTAATTTTTGTAAATAATTTTTAAACTAATTTTTATCAAGTTATAATTTCTCAATTCAGTGATTTAGTGATTTAATGTATATACATTTAGGACCGTTGATCATGTTGTCTGTCTAGCAAAAATGCTGTCGGCAATAATATATCTGCATATTTATTTAATGCTATGAGATCATAGATACAGTCTTATATCTTAACAAAAGCTAAAATGGTTTACCACATAAATAAAAGTTTGATATTTAGAAACAACTTTTTCAAGTACTTTATTTATGCAATTTATAGTGATATTTTTTAAAATTAATTTTACTACTTACAATAATAAAAAAAATACAAAACAATATAATAAAATAATGAAATCCTTACTCGACTCGAACTTGCACCAAAAACAAAAATTTCAGAAACGTATTCATATACGCTAATGCAAAAACATACAAACATTTGCGTGAAAACATACTTCGATTACCCTACCCCTCTATAAACTTCTCCAGCCCAAAAACTCTAAAAACCAAACGCTTGCGCTCTACAACAAAGCAAATTGCGTTCAATCATAAACACCACCGCACAGGTCGTGCTAAAAAATAATATATTCTTCGCTGCCGTGAAAGAAATCACAAAAAAAAAAAAACTTAAGCAAACGTGGTCAACATACACTGGCTCACAGCCAAAGTGATGCAGCTATCTAAGAAATAGTACGCGTATAATAAGTTTTATCTAAAATTTAAATAAATTGCCCAAAAATCATGAATGCCAGTTAATAGCCGCAAATATACACATTTTATTAATGCTTTGAAAAATTTTTAATTTGAAGTTTTATTTTATGTAATTTATAACAAAAACAAAGTACTGTTGTTTAGGCCAAAAGCCTAAAGTACCCCTCCTTATGGTACCACCCTAGTACATATTTATATTTACCACTACGATATCTTTCGATAAATATCACAGAACATGAATTACGGTTTATCAAATTGACAGCGTACGGTACAAACTTAAATTTCTTACTTGGCATTGCGATTATACCAGTAAAGGCCAACGGACGTGTCCTGCAGAGAGAACCGCCAGCCATCACCCTCATCGAAAATCCCAGACTAGTGTAAAGGTACCCGAATATTCTAATTTAATAAAGAGTCTGCAATAAAGGCATACAACTAATCTTGTACTTCCTTGATCTATTTTCACGCATACAAATATACACCGGTGCGTTCACATTCGACGCGCGGTGTATCTAACAGTAATAAATTGTACCTCACAGCGAAAATGATGCACATAGATTTACCGTTAGTGGCGACGTCTTGCCGATGATTTTTGAATTCAAAATAAATACCGCTATAATCTCGAACGAGCTTGGTGTAATATGAGATAATTTTTTGATAAATCAAAATGGGTCGCTAAACAAGTATTTAAGTGCGCGAATTAATCCTAAAACATTATAAAGATAGTAAAAGTCAGCGTAAAATCGCGGAAATGGTGAAATTGAGCCAAGGAACTGTTCAGCATATCATTGAACGCTGTGTTCGTGAAGGTCGTGTTTTAAATAAAACTAAAATTACTCATAATAAAATATTTAACGAAACTGATTCCCGATAGATTGTGTGGCCGCACAGCTCAAAATAAACCATATGTCAGTGCTAAAAATCAAAGTGAAAGGCTGAAGTTTGCAAGGGACCATTCATATAAAGATGAAAGTTTCTAGGACACCGTAGTTTCTAGGACACCGTAGTTTCTGCGGTCGAAAGTAAATTCAACTTGTTTAGATCAGATGAAAAGAGCTATGTATCTAGAAAACCAAGTGATGTGTTACAACCGCAAAATTCACGAAATATTCACTGTAAAACATGGTAGAGGGCATGTAATGGTATGGGGTTGCATATCGTCTTCTGGAGTTGGTAATTTGGATTTCATCAATTGTACTATGGATAAGACTTTGTATTAGGACATTTTGAAAAGAAATTTGTTGCAAAGCGCCTCAAAATTAAATTATCGTGACAAGTTTCTGTACTATCAAGTTAATGATCCAAAACACAAATCTGGCATTGTGCAAAGTTGGCTTATTTCGAACTGTTCGCACATAGTGCAAACTTCAACGCAGTCTCCAGATTTGAATGTGAATGAGAATCTGTGGTCAGTTTTGGAACGAGAGATTCGAAAATATGAGATTTGAAATCAAGTCGACTTAAAAATAAGCTCTACAAACAGAATGGAACAATATTGGTCATGACAACACGAAGAAGTTAATGGAATCCATGCCCAAACATACGAAATCAAATATTAACATACAATTTAATTTTTTTTAAATGAAATTTATTAATTTTTTTGTTAATTCATCGTTTTCGCTGTGAGGTAAAACTTAATAGTGGAATTTGTTTATGTTGTTAATCACATTAAATAAACATAAAATATAAAATTTGTAAAGCATAAATGAAATAAAAGTGAGCCACTGTACACTAGCATGCCATTCTTCAATCAACCCTTGACATTCCTATGTCGTTTACAAGAGTTGCTTCAAATTATTGCTACTGACAAAATTCTATCACTGCCAGCAGAAATAAATCAAATCGGCATCGTGATACTAAATTTGCTGTTCGCCTATTACTTCATATAGCACAGCAAGCATGCACCTTGTCAGCAAACAGAATGTGGCGTTCTTTCTCGTTGTAGCTTCGACAAAACTGTATTTGATCATTCGTCATAACACGCTAAAATATTTTTCAACTAATTCATTCCGATCGTCCGAACTTAAAGAAATATATTTTTCATTTTAGCATCAACATCACTGCCATTTTCTAAAAATACAATACCCAGCAAGTATTCCCAATTTATATTTATTTGATACTTCTTCACGCTGGAATATTAATGAATGGTCATTTAAATTAACATCAAAGGATGAACCACCACGATTATTGCCCATCGAAACGTGAGTCCTTGTATTTGTCCACATAGAACATCTTCATTTATATTTATCCTTTGCAAGCGCTGCAGCGATTTTCGAGAAAACATCTAAAATTTGTAGAGTACGTCACGATTTTTCTAAGGCGCCTAAACGGCTGATGGGTTCTCATTAGGAGCTTTTATTTCTTTTCAGAAATCCATTCAGACAATTCGGACTATAAAAGTCTCCGGAGCAATGCGTTTTGTGAAATGGGAGGAAGATTGCATGGCGGCAAATACCAAACACAGATAGTTTTTTCCTCTGCGGGCTAGGGCTTTATGAATTTTCCCGCGGTATGCTTCCTAAAAAAATTAATCTATTCACTGGATTTTTCCAAAGTTGTCTTCAGAAAGTATAGAGATGCGGACATAAAAAAAAGGATTTTACTTTCCTTTGCAAGGATACCAAATTTATAGAATTGGGTGCACAACTTTTCGAAATATAGAGTTTTATATTTTATATTATTTATAGCATTAAACCCTCGAAATCAGACCGGACCATGTTAATTAAATCATATTTTTGTACAACAACAATAACACATACAGGCTTTAAGCGTTCACAAGGATAACTTTATATTCCCCTAACAGGCCTATTCTGTCGAGGTAGCAAAATTTACTATGGTATTAAAACTTACCATTCAGTAAATTTGGTTACTATTTCGTATTCTGAGTTCACTGTCACCCTGTAAATTTTGTTACCAGCGAAATAGGAGGTAAAAAAAATCTACTGTTTGATTTTGTGTTGTTAGTTTGAGTAAAAATAAAAACCAAAATGGGTAGGCATATTTTAGTTCTGGAATTCATTGAAGATGAAGAAAAAAGTGTAAATTGGTGTATGCCAAGAAGTTTGCGAGAAAATAATGGCCCTTTCAATTTGGAACATAGCGTTTTCATACAGCTTTTTTTGTCATTTAGGCACATTTTTCAAAATTAGATTTAAATATTTATGATTTAATAAACAAATAAATAAAACTTATTAATTTTGTTGTGCCGCATTTTCCATTTCGATGTGAATAATCTTCTTTACTACTTTACCAACTGACAAATGTAATTTGGCATGAACGAAAAACACAGTGCTGCCAAAGTTTTTTCAAACTTTGTAACCAGTTCGCCAGAATACTAAATTCAATTTCGAGTGTTAAAAAAAAGTAACAGTGAGAATAGGCCTGTTAGCGAATAAGAGAAGAATAAGTAAAATATTACTAAATTCCTCAAATCGAAACTGCAGAGTGTATCTAGGCTTGTGCAAACTATAGAGTTACAAACATTAGCTGAAACTTATCGATCAAAATAAATATTTCTCATATCTTAACTGTTTACAAATTTCTTGTATGTTTATTTTGACATTTGATAAATCATACACTTTGCAAATTATAAAACTTCTGCATTATTTGTTGCAAAAGGTTGGTATCTGTTGCTCTTTGTAAACAACAATAGAAATTTCTTGTTTCCATATATCCAAAACACCAAAATGCTTGTGGTAATCATAATAAAGAAATATAAGCTTTTAAATTTGTGTTATTTCAATCTTGTAGCAGCCAAGTAGCTTTGTAGATTCTCGTATTAATAAGTGAATCTTCGTAATATTAGTATTGTAAAGAAAAAAAACTACGTCATACGAACCTACGCCCCCGTACCAAAAGTAGATCATCTTAAGAGAAGGCGTATATTTGTAAATGCTCATAAGCTTCTATTGTTGTTAAATCAGTTTAGGTGAATAATCGCTCATAAGAGAGTCTAACGTACCAGAATTACCAATTAATGAAGTTTCCTAGGAAAAAACAATTATAGGGAGACAATAACAGCTCCACAAGAAATCATTTATAGTATTATAGGTATGTATGTATAAGCCAAGGATATAGATAATATAAATGAAATTAAAAGCTTTAATTTTAAATATTTTCAGGTTTTATCAACCAAAAGTAAAAACTCGGCTATATTACAACATATGTATGTTTATAGAAATATACCTTTATGATTTTCAAATATATTTTGCCTTAAAAACAGTAACCTGTTAGCATATTTGAACTGCTGCCTGGCCCTGCATAATCTTTCTAAGGCGCTTGAGGGCGAACGAAAAAAATGTATTATCAATAATACATTACAGCCTAATGAGTAGATAACAGCTCTATAGTCATTGGATATTTTAATTTTCAGAGAAACTAGTTTATATATTTATATATAAAAAAAAATATAAAAAAATATATATATATGTAAATATATATATTGTTTTACTCTTACCTACCTTTCCAACGTGACCAATCTGTTTGAATTATTAAGGGCCGGACATGTTCACTTTTATACCCTAACGGATGTTTTCTGCATTTGTTTAAAAAATATCTACAGATGAATATTTATGTAATGTATAGTGTATGCTTTTATTATTATTTTTATTTTAGGCAGATATTTAACAAGTTAAACACTTAGCGAATGCATTTTTGGTGATAAAGTACATCCAATTACATATCTAGCCAAGATTATAGCTTGTATTAGCACCAGGCTGGAAGTTCTTTCTCGTCATAATCATTTACAATTTACGTACATACATATATACCTTTATTTATACAACAAGGAAACTGTTCTAATGTACTTTTTTTATTGTTGTAACTTGCCTTAGGTAAAACAAAACTAAACACCCGGATTGGTAAAATCAAAAATAAAACCCGAAGGCTTTCGTAATGGCTAAATTCAAATTTGATATACGATGTATTTTTACTCAACCGGTTGTAAAAATTTCATCAAATTTGTTGCCTCACACATTTCGTGGCGATAGAAGAATGGCCATGTAAGTAAATACATAATATTAAGCACTATTTACAGTATATCAACTAATTGTTTGCAAAATGAAAAAATTACAAAACTCTCTTTTCAAATTTTATTTAAGAATGAAAGTATTTTATTTTCCTTTTTTTATTAAATGGTATTGTTAATCTAAATATTCTTAATAAATATTATTCTCCAAATATTGCTTTGTCAATTAAATCTTTGCAAAAAACCCACACAATTCAAAATAAAACGTAGATAACTTAACGGTACCACAAATTTGAAAACGAGTAAACGCTGCGTCATAGCTAAGCGATAATATGATACGAAACTCTTTATCTCTTGAGAGCGCCGTCTTTATCTCTTGCCAAAATTCTATCCTACTAGCTAATCCTTAACATAACATATATATTTTAATGCGCTATTATTTTCACATATCTAAATAGAATTTTTTCAGTAAAAAAGTTAAGCCTCACAAGAAATATTAATGTTTGCTATCTAAGTTGTATTTTTCTGTTTCATGAAATATTTACTACTAATTAAATAAATTATTATTATTTTTTTGAAAGAAATTAAACCAGCAAATTGCAATTTGCACACTTTTGTTATAACTAAGTATAATTAAAGTAAACTTCTGCTGAAAATTAAAAAAAAGCACTAACTTCAAAAATAGTTTTTAGCGGATTATGTATGGCAGATCACATTTTTAACTCACAGCTGACTGTTGGGCCTCGATCTTGTAGTTTGAGCTGGCAACAAAACGTAATCGAGGCCCAAGGATAATAGATAAGTGAATACGTTTCATATCATATTATCATGGCTAAGCGATCTTGTTGATTTAGCGCTTTTAACAACGCCTGGCAAGCGAACTAATGAAAATCATATTCAATTAGTTTTTTATACTTACGACAAAGGGAAATCGGCTAAGGAATTAGCAGAAATGTTTCCCATCAAGCTTAGAACGATTTATATAATATTTATAATATTATTAAACGCGCAGAAAAAGAAAACAGGCTGAAGTTAAAGCACTCTGAAGGTAGACCGCCGACACTTTCTAGACGCGATCATACAAAAATTTTAAAGCTAATCAGTGATAATCCTCAAACCACCCTGAGAAAATTGGCGAGACAATCCGAAAAGTCGTAAAAATACACAAGTACTCCTCGCAAATAGCTAAAAAGAAACCATTTTTGTAGATAGTTAATATTGAGAAGCGGCTCAACTTTTCTATTACCCATGTTTACAGGACTGCGGAGCAACCCAGTTCGTTATTTTTTGGACCCAGTCAAGTTTGGAGAAACCTCAACACAGCTTTGCAACAGAAAAATATAATTCCAACATTAAAATTTGGTAAGCTTTCTGTAATGGTTTGGGGTTGCATTTCGTCGAAAGGTGTTGGTGAGCTCCGAATTTTGACATTCTAAAGGACGAATTGTCAAGGAGTGAATATTATCCTTTTTTTTTACTATAGCAACTGGCAAATGTAATTTGACATGGACGAAAAAAGCAGTGCTGCTAAAATTTTTTCAAACATTGTAACCAGTTCGCCAGAAACCAATTTCAATTTCGGGTGTTAAAGAAAAGTAACAAAATTTACTTTGCCGGTAACAGTGAGAATAGGCCTGAAAATATATACAAATCTTGCGTTGTTTTTTGGAAACCCTATGTATTGATTGCTAGGGTTCAGTGAAAGAATTACATTTGCCAGTTAGTAAAGTAAAAGGAAAGAATAATCATATCGAAATGGAAGCCGGTACGCAACAAAACAAATATGTTTTATTTATTTGGTTATTTAATCAATAATATTTCATAAGTATTGAAATTATGCCCAAGCGTCAAAAAAAAAGCTGAGTGAAAACGCTATCTTCCAAATTGAAAGGACCATTTTTTCTCGCAAACTTCTTAGCATGCGCTTTTTACACTTTTTTCTTCATTTTCAATGAATTCGAGGCCTAAAATATGCCTACACATTTTTATTTTTTCTCAAACTAATAACACAAAATCAAATAGCTGATTTATTTGTTAGATCCTTTTTCGCTGGTAACAAAATTTACAGGGTGACAGTGAACATAGAATACGAAGAAGTAGCAACTGAATAGTAAATTTTAAAACCAAAGTAAATATTGGCCTGTTAGCATTTTTTTAATTATAAATACTGTATTTGCTTTCAGAAGACTTGTAGAAACAAGCGGTCAGAATGGGTGTCAGCAGACGAAATGAGTTGGGGAACCGCTTTCCCATGATCACACATTTGTAAATTAGGTTGTAAATTAGCATGCCTTGTAAATACCTTTACGCGCTTATAAACACCAGTCGTGGACGGTCAATGTATTATATAAGTTATGATCAATGCACTTAAGAAAATTTAACATCCTTTCTATTAGCCGTCAATTGTTTAGTATGTGGTTAATTACACATAATTTTGAGAAAAACTAGTTTTCCAATAAAAAAAATAGGACTAATTCATTAAAAATATTTTTTCTTAAAATATAATAAATCAAATTATATAAATTTGCATATCAAAAAAGGGAATTAATTTTTCTTTTCAAAGTTTTTGTAATTTTAGTGTACAACTTTTCGACCGAGAGTGTCTTTTTATATCTTACATGTACTGGGACTTATACCTACATCCACATAAAGTCCACCTCACACAACAACTGAAACCAGCTGAACCTTCACAAGGCCGGCAGAATTGTCTCTTTTGGGGCTCAAGAGTCCTCAAAAAATTGATGAGAGGTCATTGCACCCCAAAAAACTTACAGTCAGGTGCTCTCCTTGACTCTTAGTTCTGATTGGACCTTACTTCTTTAACCGACTTTTTTGGCTTTACATTTAAAAACACGACTTGGACAATACGTGGTTTCAACGAGATAGTGCCACACAACACGAGGGAATGTGGCTTTATTAAAAGAGAAATTCTCCAACCGCTTGATATCGTCTTTTTGATGTAACGTTTTTGAATAACGTTTGTGTGGATAAACCCTTAATTCCTAACCACTTGAAAACCAACATTCGTCAAGTTATGGCTGCGATACCGTCCAATATATGCTAGGATGCGGTGGCTGCCGATGTAAGAGACCGGATTCGTTTCTTCCTCTTCTTACTCCTTTCAAGTTTGGACATGTCAACTCTTTTTAAGGAGTACATATCTCGTGATCTCTTCTTATCCCATTTCGGCCAAGTTTGTCTGCTTTTGCGGCGGGTTGTGATGTCATTCCACCTTCCTTCCTTCCTTCCTTCCTTGAGAAGCAGTTTGCATGTAGCTAAAGGCATACCAATGCGTTCTTTATCGGGAAGATTCTGGTTGGTCGTACCTAGCAAGTTCATCCGCAACATCTACAGTTTACCTCGATGTCGCTGTAAGCAGAAACCCATATGCGAGACTGTCTGTTCTGTTTGACCATCTCCTGTAGAGATCGGCGACGAAGTTTAGCGTAAGAAAGACCAGTGCTTTTATTGCTGCTTGACTATCGCTGAAAATGAAGATACCTTTAAAGCTGGCTCCAGTTTGCTTTGCAACCTCCATGACAGAGATATCTCCGCCTGGAAAACACTGCAATGGTCAGATAGCCTGAACGATAGTTCCATCGGATGGTTTTCTGAGAAAGCACCTCCGCCAACTCTCTCCGTACGTTTTTCCAGGCTATCATTTAGAGTAGTATAATTATCTGTCCATTCTTCCCTGCTGGGAATTCGTATTCTAAATCGGTTATCAGCTACTACTATAGACCATTGATTTGACTCTCTCAGACGAAGTGCAGTCATTGCTGCCGATTAATGTACCACCAAATCCAGTGGTAAAATATTGAGTATAATATGTGCTGAAATGTGGTCGGAACTTACCCCAAACGGACCGAAGTTTGTAAAAATTTGCCAGGTAGTCATTTAAATTATATAGTGTTTCACATGTGATGCCAAGGTTCATTTTTTTATTTTTTTCATTATTATTTTATTTATTTATTTATCATTTTCTTTGCGTGGTTGTGAATTGAGTATAAGGCCAACATAGACGGGCTTGTGCTGAATATCATCATCGTCAGTGAAAATGATGATAGGAAACACTGATATACCGTTCAACGCCATCGTCAAGTGTGGAAAGATTTCAAATTTAAGGTGAAGATAACTTGATGAACAGCAAAAAAGAGTCAAGAGCAACCGGCGGAAGAGTTTACAAGGGATGGTATTGACTCTTCTTGAAGAATCTGTTGCAAATTTAATAGGATTTGAAGAGAAGTCAAATCTAGCTGGTACTATATTTGGTGTGAAGGAAGATAACAATGAACCGCAGACCAACAACAGCAGTAAAAATACGTCGAAAATTTTAGGCAGAGTTCCTGAAGTGTCAAATGAGCAATCTGCTCGAGTAGATGTTCCATCAGTAGATTACATGCCAATTGCCGGAACCTCGCGTAGCACAAATCCGACTACGACGGCCACAGTACCATATCGACATTTACGATGACCATTTAAATTTCTGTTTTCTTTATCGCTTTCGCTTGAAAAGAACAACTCTGATTCTATTTTTTTTTTTATTTAAAAAACTTTTAACTACCTGCAAGGCGAAGCCGGTGTTGATCCGGCCCAGGGTTACAATCTAAGGCGCGCCCAAATGCCACCAGTAAAAGGAAAGTTTCACTTGAGAATACTATGCAAGTCGAAGCCGGTGCTGATCCGGCCTGAACTTACAATCTAATGCGCCAGAAGGACCCCACTTTAAAAAGAAGTTTCACTTAAGAATACTCTGCAAGACGAAGCTGGACCAACGTTCGCCGAAAGTTACAATCAAAAGCGCTTCCAAAGGCCACCAATTAACAGAGAAGTTTTCACTTTTGGTCCGGCCTGGGTTATTTTATTATTTGAGTGGCAACATTCGTTTTCTTTACTTATTTCATTTTTCGCCATGTTTATGTAGATTATTTGGAGAGGCAACGCCGCCAATGATGACTAGATACGAAACTCTTTATTCCGTGAGAGGGCTCAAAAATCCGCATTTTTTATAACATTTCTGAACAGTGCCACTGTGATAGAAAAACGACTTCTTTGGATTTTTAGGTATATTTTAGGTATTTTATTACAAACAAGGGCGTCTTTAATTGCAATTTCACTAAAATATTTCATTGAGAAACAATTTAATATTTAATTATATTAGTATAATTTAAGCAAACTCCTTGTATATAAAAAGTGTAACTTTAAATGTTAATAACTTTTTAACTATATATTTGCGCGTGGTAAAAATTATATTTTTGGTAATTTTACACCTCCTACTACCAACTCTAAACATTTCATAAAGAACAACCACAGGCTCTATACTAAAGTTTTCGCCAATGTTTTTTTGAATGTTTATTTTTATAAATAACCATTAATTTATTTATTTTTTTTTATTATTACCACATCATGTGTTTAATGAGGATTCTTATCCATATTTATTCGCATTTCTAGGTACATATTGGATTTTGAAATTAAGCAAAAGTTAATAAACAGATAGAAAAGTTTATTAACTTAAAGTCATATATTCTTATATTTAATAACCGTGCAATTTATCATACACATTACGAAGTCCGAGAAAGCAATAAAAAATGGCGTTCGCTCGAAAATAAGGACATGAAATAAAACGGATAATCCGAAAATCTTCATTATTTCAGTTTGTATATACCCAGAGGAGAAAGATAAACAAAGCAACTTGTTTATGCGTGTGAGGGTGAACCATTAATGGGTGGAAGGCCTGAAATATATACCCCACGCGAACAATAAAGTAATCCAAAACAATACAAGATATTATCAGGCCTATTCTGTCGAGGTAAAAAAATTTACCTAGGTATCAAAATTTACCATTCAGTCGAGGTTAAAAAATTTACCTAGGTATTAAAATTTACCATTCAGTAAATTTTGATACCATTTCGTATTCTGAGCAAAATATTGGAGGTAACAAAAATACCTGCTGTTTGATTTCGTGTTATAAGTTTGAGGAAAAATAAAAAACCAAAATGGGTAGGCATATTTTAGGCCTGGAATTCATTGAAGATGAAGAAAAAAGTGCAAAAAGCCGTATTTTAAGATGTTTTCGAGACTGAAAAATTGCCCTTTAATATGTAAGATAACGTTTTCATTCAGCTTTTTTTTGTTGTCCAGGCATATTTTCCATAATTAAGTTCAAATATTTATGATTTAATAAACAAATTATTACAACATTTTAATTATTTTGTGCGCCGTCTCCCATTTCGATGTGAATACTTTTCTTTTTTACTTTATCATCTGGCAAATGTAATTTGACATAGACGAAAAAATCAGTGCTGCCAAATTTTTTTCAAACATTTTAACCAGTTCGCTAGAATACTGAATTCAATTTCGAGTGTTACAGAAAAGTAACAAAATTTACTTTCCCGTTAACAGTGAGAATAGGCCTGTATATATCGACAAAATAACATTGCGAAAACCTACAAATACTGAATACTGCTTCATTAATACCAACTTGTCTATTAATGATACTTCCTTCACGTATAATTATTTAAATTTTTTTGTATTTAAATACACCCACATATTAGAAAACTTTAAGTAAAGTTTATTACTTTTAATGAAGATAAATATATTAAATTACACGATATTAACAAATATGTTTTTTTTTCAGGGATGTTAGTTCAAAGGTGTCTGAAATCTTAGATCGCTTGGGGGAGCTTTCGGCTGTTGCACAGAAGCTAACGAAACCCATTACATCAGCTCAGAAATTGCGGGTGTCCGAAAATCAAACAGTCTACCTTATGGCTGATATAAATGATTATGATGGGTGAGTGCTTATTGATATTAGTGAAATAATAAAATAATTTAATATGCCTAATAGTATGAACGCTATGAAGAAATTTGTATTGACAAACGTAAAACGATTTGATACGATACTTACAAAAATTTGCTCATGCTACAGCTGAGCGCGTTCCACACCTTATCAGCAGTTATAGGTAACATTCAACAGTTCACTAACTTTTTGTCGATACTATTTGTCGAATCGCTAACTTGCGGATTTTTTCGCTTACACCAACTATTATACGACAGCAGTTGACTGTTTTTTAAAGGAGGAAAGGTGGCATCACATAAAACGTATGCAAAATGTTTAATAGCCATTTTTGATTATTTTTTCTTCCAAATTATTGTTTAAAAAATATCCATATACATATGTATATTATTTTATTGATTTAACAAAAATAAAATATCAAATCTTTTGCCGACGGCGCTAACACATCTAAAATATTCGTCGTTTAATTAGGAAGTATTTAGTAAGAATAGTGAAATCATTTTGTAACTGACTGACTGTTGGCCGCTCTTTTATATACCCCGCCGATTTCTCGTACTCAGCTTGAGATATTTCTAATGATATTGTAACGATTTCGCTAATTAAGTTTCGATGATTTCCCAAATCCTTCTATTTCGATCACTGATTGTTTAATAAAAGTCCCAAGATTTATTTTATAATTTCTTAATATTAAAAAACTCGGCCGCGGTAGCGGATGATTAGCATTGCGCATTCGGAAAGCCAAGGTTCGAATCTTAGAATTAATTAAATAAGAAAAAACAAGTTAAGTGTTTGAAAATTGCATTGCTTGTCGTGGCACATGGTAGGTTACTGCTTTGGTTTAGTTAGATACTGAATGTTTCAATGAAAAACATCTTGAGCCATCTGTATTAAAATTTTCAAACAGGTTGCCACTCTCTTCAAAATTCTTCATTTTGATACAAGTACAGATTTCTTTAAAAAATATTGGGGCACATACACGTTTTCTTCCATTAATGTGGTGTCAGTTGTCATGACGCCGGGATTTGTGGAAGAAGAAAATAAGCTTTTGCATTTTGATAACGCCATTGCAAATAAATCTTTGTTGGTGCCGCAGGCTTAAATATTATTTATCATATCTGAAAAATTGATTGGGTGGGCTATGTGATGAAGTTTTACGATTTCGATGATTTACATCGTCAATATTTATTTGTATATATGTACGTGTGTATGTAATTTACGTGCATGTGCAGACTGTACCCGGTTGTAATATGGCTTTAATGAAAGCCGTAGAATCAAATAGAGTTGAAATATCGTATAGCATCTCTGCAAAAATTTGCCTCCGATGTTAAGAGCCTCGAGAGGGTAAAAATCCAGAGGGCCATCTGCAAGAGATGTAGTCAAATCTAAATCCACTGTCTACTTCGAAGATAATTATTGGAAAAACCCCTGGCTAAGATGCAAAAGAACGAACACATACCAGTTCTCATAAAAGAACATCAATGCATGCACGGTAAGATTGGAAGGCAGATACCATCATCAGGCTAAGCAACTTCTCCGCAAATACTCCAACATATTGGACAACGATGGCATTCTATTAATACTGGGAACGCTAGGATGATTCGTCAAACTTCTCGAAGTTTTCTACTAACCAAGCGAGAAGCCGTGAGCCAAATAAGAAAAAGAGAAAGATCGAGAGAAGAAAGCTTTCAGCGCTGCTATAGTCTTTGGCATCTAACAGTGGATTTGGATTATGCAGCGCGCTCCTGCCACTTTTGAAAGATTAATGGGCCTATGCTAAGTGTACCCGGTATTGGTATTATTTCGGATATGGATGCTAGTGGCTATGTCATAGGAGGCGGACTTTCATAGGTAATTGATGGACAGGTGGAAAACAGTTGCCTACTCAAGCAGATTTTATGGAAAACCAGCGTAAAGTAATAGTTGTTTGTATTAAACGTTTCCACAAGTATCTGTACGGACAACATTTCCGAGTTAGAACGGAGCATGCAGCGTTGAGCTCGGTCCAGTTAGAGACACCAAAGTTAAGACTTCATTATTGGGCGCCACAAAGTAAATTCCCATGAGAATGCTGACGCTAAATCCCGTCGACTATATAGCTTTTAATGTGAACACTCTTCAAAACCAGAAAGTAAATAAGACATATTAGGCGTCCGGCTAATGACAGTTACATCAGAAGAAGAGTGGGAAGCAAATCACATATGGAAATGTCAGCAGAAGTATCCGGACCTGGAACTTCTAATGCAGTGCAAACTACAAGAAATGTTTGGCCACAAAAGGTTCGAAATTCAGAAGTAATGAGCAACCTACGAGGTTTACCCGATTCCAAGCCAGGGAGTTGAAACTGTAGCAGATGCGATGGGTTGCCAGATACGGTGCACTTTACACTGACCAAGCAGAGAATTTCCAATCGGTGGTGTTCCAAAAGGTGTGCCTAGAACTGGGTATTCGATCAGCAATGACAAGGTAGAACGATTCAACCGAACCCTGAAAAGCACTTGAGGAAGGTCGTGCACTTGAGGAAGGTCGTGCATTAAATTCCAGCAAGGATACTCTTAGATAGTGAGCTGAGTAAATGGTAATGAGAGAAAAAATGTGAAAAAAGCGGCTAACTTCCTAGAGCTGAGAGACAACCAGGTCTGGTATGATAAATTTAGTGCTGCTGTATAATCTAATACGGGAGGAAGCTTTACCCTCGGAACATCAAGGCAATTGGGGAAAGTCCACGTAAGGCAATGTTGACCTTTAGTTTGGAGAGAAAGTTGCAAATGCGTGCTGGAAAAATTTCAGTCAGTAAAAATGTGCAAATTTTAAAAGCGGCGGATTTCCAATCGTATTGAATTGAATTTTTGTCAACAAAACAAAATTTATTTTAATTTAAAATAATATTAACACTTTAATATGAATGATATATTATCAAAATAATAGCCCAAATGTAATTTTGCTAAAGTAAATTTGATGGTATCAACGATCAAATAAAATATTTAAGGTACTCATTAAATGAGAAATGCGGTGACAGTGGAGGGGAATCATCGTCCGCATACCACCGAGTCCACGTTTGTGAATTAGAAGTTAGTAATGTTGAATTAATAAAGCTTTTGCTGGGATATTATTTGAACATAGTCGAATAAACTTTATAATAATGTTGAGATAATATGGCCTTGTACATCCGAAATTTATAGAAACTTAATTTATATAAAAAATTAACTTTAATTTTCTAATTGCGGTCGCCCCGCGGCTAGGAATGTCAACCCCTCCGAGTGTACTTCTGACATGAATCAAAGGCTTCCTATAAAAAAAAACCGTCGGCCATTTGCAGGCGCCCTCCATTTGTTGGAAAATCATCAAAACGCAAAAAACTACAATTTGAGGAGGAGCTCGGGCGAAAATCGTTTTAGCGGTTACAAAGAGCCAATTATATATTATATAATATGGCTGGCTTACACGGATAAGGAATTCTAAACTGATTTTCGTATTTAAGCCATCCTTCGTGAAAGTCTAAACGACAAATTGTTTCAAAGCAAGCTTTACATAAATTTCGACCTATTAGAGGACTATTAGAATAAAATATTGGTGTCTTCATCGTTGAACGCCTATAAAGCATGTAGATTTTCATCATTATTAAGATACAATGAATATATTTAAAATACTTCAGAGCAGAAAAAATAAACTGTATAAATAAACGGATTCAAATCTAAATCTAAAACCCTGTTCGATGGAAAGCTCAATCAATTTCTTTCTTTAAGAGAGTAAAACATTTTACTCTCCCAATTTCGTTACTGGGTAATTTTTACCGACGACTCAACGAGCACAGTTTATTTTAAACAAAATAACAATAAATTTAAAATGCCAATAATTAGCGTAAAAAAAAATATTTATGTTCTGTATGGAGGGTAATATTATTTAGTTTATTATTTTGTATTAAAGCTATTTGACACAAGTAGCGGGGAGTATTTTAAAATTGTTTTGAGAATTTCCTCGAGATGTACATATGTCTCTCCAGAAAGTGAATTAAAAGAAGAAAATATTTTGGAAGAATTGATTATCGCTGTGGTTGCAGCAGAAAATCTGAGATCGTATTCCAGAAGTTCAAAGTTCTGTAATAAATGAAAGGACAACGTTTAAAGTAATTTCCAGCTTAATCAAATACGACGAAATGTTCAATGGGGCTTGCTCTTGCAAGCAGTTTCTTATTTTAAGGCAACTTGCAATTGTGACGTACCGACTGGATCTAGTGTTATAGGAGCAACTATTTTGAAAATTGACAATTTGGTCTTAAATATGGTGGCGCAAGACATTTTTTTGTACTGAGGTTGTGATTTCTACAATGAACTAAAAGATTTCTTTTTCCAACTTAAAACAAACAAAATATTTGAGTCACTTCAAAATTTGAAAGACAATTTTTGTAGGAGCGTAAAATTTTAATGGCTGAAACATTAGATGAATTACCTCATTTGGTTCTTATTTTTGAAAGGCAATCATAAACTTAGAGTTAGCAGGTGATAGCGCTTACAAGCTAACAAGCAGTCTTATTACTCCTCTTAGAGCAAATTCAACTGATGGTCATGTCATGAACGTGACCATTTATACAAAATTTTTAATAAATACCGAATAAGAATTGAACACTGCTTCCGGGTAATGTAAGAACGGCTTAATAGCTTGAGATAGTTAAAAATTTAAATAAAATATATGATTCTTCTAGAAAATTTTCATACTTGGCAATTGTAATTTCTCCAATTTTGCACAACGTTATCATTATAGAGAAAGAGGACAGCTGTGAAATAAAAAAATATGAGCCTGAACAGCAAAACTGTACCACCAATCCGAGCGAAAAGAAACGACAAGCAATAATATCAATGATGTTAGAATAATAATAGATATTAGTTATGATTATAAAAATATGACTTAATTAATTTAATTATTTAAAAATACATATATTGTATATACTTATATTCATCTTTAATTTAAACTCTTTCCTGTTGCTATTTTAATTTGTAAATTTGCAGCAGCCTTATATCTCGCTTCATTTTACCCTTCATATTATCATAAATCATTTTTATATAGAAAAATATTGCTTTTATTTTTGTATTGCATACAATATCTACCCGGAAAGACTTTCTAACTATCTCTGACTGCATGTGCAACGGATTGCAAAAAGCAAACTGTCTACGATTTCGTGCATCTATGACAAAGATGACTAGATATGAAACTTACTCAAAATCACTCAAATCGCAGCTGAGAGCGTTCCCCCATCTCACATTCTTATGTTGGCAGCAGTGTCAGATCGGGGAAAATTCAACAAAAAAAATCCATTGTTTTTGTTTCAAAAGAAATTTGCTTCAGCAGTAAATATTAAAGAAATTATTGTAATTTTATTATTAAAACTTAATATAATTAAATATTAAATTGTTTCTCAATGAAATATTTTAGTGAAATTGCAATTAAAGACGCCCTTGTTTGTAATAAAATACCCAAAATATACCTAAAAATCCAAAGAAGTCGTTTTTCTTTCACAGTGGCACTGTTCAGAAATGTTATAAAAAATGCGGATTTTTGAGCGCTCTCACGGAATAAAGAGTTTGTACACTTGCGTTTTGCATTATACAGGATGCGCCATCTATATGTGGTCAATGGAAATGTTGAATAACTTGAACAATTTTCAATGAATTTTGATCAACTTTTTTTATCAAATTTAAAGCCTTACAATTTTTTCCAGCTAGGTTCGAAAGACAACGTCGCTCCAATGACCCCTTTCATTTCGCAAACATAACTTCGCTCTTTTTTCGGCGTTTTCCATGACATTTGCCAGCATCTCGGGCGATATCGAGCGATTTCAGCTCGAATGTTTTTCTGCAGACCGTCCAAAGTCTTCGGTTTCTTGACATACACTTTGATTTTCAAAAAGCCCCACAAAAAAGTCTGGTGCAGTCAAATCGGACGATCTTGGTGGCCAGTCGATATCCCCTCCTTTCGATACCACACGTCCGGGGAACTTTTGCTTCGAAGCCAAGCGACCAATAGTGTCAGTTTTATGCTTCAACTATTCATCTTACATACCTTCCGTCCATAGCAACCTATCTTGTGAGAGCGCCATGGAAACGAAAAGTTGTCACCGCTTGTCGATACCGTTATGACGGTGTTACAGTCGGGTGTTATGGCTGTGCGGTATGTAAGATGTGTGGTTACTGCATTACGGCCGCGATACTTTTTCTGATACTCACACTGTGTTGCCACAACTGAACGATCGCACTCAATGTACATTGTAACTATTTCCGCACGTTCTTTGGGCGTAAAGCGATATATGGTTGAAATTGTATTGGAATAACGCAATCGCTTCAAAACTGCCAAAGTTATTGAATGCTTCCTATATATAATAGAATTTTAGATATCTTCGAGATATGCAAAAATTGCAGCGCGAAGTAAAATAGTAATAAAGTAATAAACAAAATTTTAAAGCAAAGTTTTTTTTTTTTTTGAAATTTGATCTATGCTTTAACTCAAAGCTGGTTCTTGTTTTTCGGTTTAGCACTCCAGCTTTCTTAAAGTCTGCCCAAAGATAAGATTAAGGTCAGGGGATTGAGATGGCCACTCCATGACTTCAATTCCATTTACTCAAAACCACTCCTTTACCACCCTGCTGGTGTATTTCGAATCATTATCCTGCTGAAACGTCAACATACATATGTACGTATATATAATTTGGCGCTTTGTAACCGCTGAAGCGATTTGCGGTCGAACTCCTCCTCTAATTTGATGTTTTTCCAAAAAATGGAGTTAGCCAGAGTTTATACTAAGCCGCCTCCGAACGGTTGATGAATTTTTTACGAAGAGCTTTGATTTTTATGTCAGAAATACACTTGGAGAGGTAGACATTCCCTTCCTTGGTGCAATTAGAAAACTGCCTCCCGAATGACTGTACGCAATGGTTTTTTCTCTTGTTATGAAGGAAAGAGGAAAATTTATCTGTGATATTATTAATCTACTCGTAACTTTTTCTATCCAGATTACTGACTTAAACTCATATGTATGTAAAGGGTGGGCCATATGCCATTTACTTTTTAAACAACGGCTTACTAAATTTAAATTTAAATATTATATTAAAATACAAATACTCTGTACAAAGTTTGCGGTATACAGAATTTTTAAAATTACACTTGAAGGAAATTACGCACGAAATTTGTGCGGAGAGTTCGCCAAACCTGTTCGTTTTCAGACGAAACAACCCTGCGTGTGTTCAGCCGAAAATCTTACTGGAACAGACATCAACATCAATCAACACCATTCGCAGAAATTTTCAATGTACAAGTACAAGTACAATTGGCTGAAAACCGTATGGAAGAAGATGAGAATTTATACTTAAAAACCATATTTTCCAATGAAACCCAATTTCACCACCGCAGCTACATACATATACAAAACTACCAACGCATTCCCAATGACTGACAGTCCTGCACGGAATGCGGCATCATTTCCGATGTGCGGTTTCAATAGCACGTGCGTTACGTACCACACAAGGTTACAATTGATCTTTTGCCCACGTTTTCGAAAATAGCAATGTTAACTGGTCTAGTAGCTGGATTTGACTATATTTAGTAGAGAACTGTTAAGGATAAGTGTTATATCAACTACTCAGAAACGATTCATAACTTGAAACACCAAAATGCAATCGGCATTGCAGCTATAGCTGCCTAAACAATCGAAAATGTTCTGAAAAATTCCCCCAACAGTTTAACAGAATTGGCAACTGAAAGGTCTGCCGCGTCAGCCACATGAATAAAATGATGTTTCATCACCAACCGGAATTTTGTTATATTTAAGTAAATAAAAGGTTATAGAAAATTATTTAATTCATCTTTTTTATAACAAATTTTTCGTGCCCACCCTGTACATGAGGATAAATATTGAAAACTAAAATAATTGTTCATACTGACTTGATACTACTTACATGGATTTTTTTTTATTAATTTCAGAGATACCATTATAGGACTTCTAAAAGTTGGGACCAAAAATTTATATCTATTTGATAGTTTAGGACAGACAAAAAAAATTGATAAAGCGCGTTGCATATTGGATTTTTACATTCACGAATCGAGACAACGCTCTGGACTTGGAAAGAAGCTATTTGATATAATGCTTGCGGAAGAGAAATGGACCCCAATCAAATGTTCTGTTGACAGACCATCCGAAAAACTAGTTCGTTTTCTAAAGAAATACTATGGACTCGAAAATATTATTCCACAAACGAATAAATTTGTTCTCTATGAAGGATTTTTCGACGATGCTGAGCAAGAGGACAGGTACGTTTACAGATCTTGCAAACATTATGTTTTTACAATCAATATTACAATCGTATTATTTTATTATTTCGAAGTATTCAACATATATCTATTCTCTTCTGAGCTCCATTTGGTGACAAATATCAGCAAGAATTAACCCAAGGCGAATTTACAGGAGGTGAAGTTGTCACATCATATGATTGCTTGTGCTTCCTTCCTTTTCAAAAAGTTACACAAACAAATTACAAGAGAAATATGTTTTGGCAGTTCGAACGTTCGTTTACACAAACAAAATACATTGAACGATTTTCGTTTTTGACCTTACGAAACTATGATTACACAAACAAAATACATAGGCTTTTTGTTTTTGTATTCTTGCTACTACCGTGTGTGAATTTGCCTTAAATTAACCAGTAACGCAATTAAGAGAGTAAGATGTTTTACTCTCCAATGGAGAGAAATTTATTCAGTTTTAAGGGAACAGGATTCAGTAAAAATTAGCCAGGGAAGTTGTATAACACTTGTTTATTTTGGCGGTTACATTTGAATCCTTTTTCTCACCTAACGCTATTCAGTAACAATTGTTTCTGCTCATCAGGTCAATTATTGAATTTTTCCCTACTACGCAACTATAACATTTCAAAGAAGAACATAAAGAAATTTCGAAGGTATTAGGAAGCATTTTCTCATTTGTCAAATATCAAATTGAAATAATTCAATAATTGTTAACAGGAAAATATATCCATATATTTTTTTTAACAAAAAATTTCACAATACTCGTGTATTGAAAGCGAACTATAAATAAATAAATATTTTGAAATGGAAGCCAGACGAAGCAATGTTCAAACTCTGCACAAACCGCAATCGTCAAAGATGCAAGTCGTAGTAAGAATGTGATGTAAAGTATTAGATATATTTTTAATTATTTTGTTTGCTAGAAAACAGCTAGCGAGGTGAGCCTCACACCCAGTCAGGCTGCAGAACAGGCCAAGATAAATGTAAGTTGCGATAGCCTCTTTATATTGATATATGATTTGGTTAATTGAACAGTCATAACGTAGGCGCGAAAAAATCCACTGGATGCATTAAGTCGCTTATCTTTACGGCAACAAGGTGTAGAAAAGCGTTCGGTAATTATTTATTATATTACATTACAATATTGCATTACAAAAAGTAAAGTTTATTTTTAACCAATCGATGTATCGGTTAGGGGCTTCAAGATGTTGATGATGAATACTTCAAAAAAAATATGTTTTCTCGTTCGAATTTGAACAAGCATTCGGTAAATCTTTAAATACAAACTATTTTTTATACCCTAAGTAATGTATTTGCCCATATAAATATATTTTTTTTTATACTTAATTTCATATAGGGGTTGAATGACTCTTATGAACAATATGGTCACACAAATTCGATGGTAAATATAAGATATATCTACTTACAAAATTATCAACATAGTTCTCATCATTCTGCATGTACTTTTGAAATGTTAGGCGCACGGTGATGCTTCTCATATGCAAGCGCAGCAATATCAAGCCAAACAGCAATTCACTCAAAACCCAAATCAAAGTCATCCAACTTCACAGGCAGTACAACCACATCAGCATGCAACAGATATTGCGCCACAACAACAAGTACCCATCCCTCAGCCGCAAAAGCCTTCATCACCGGTGCAGTCTAAAAATCAATCGTACAAAGAATCACATGTAAATCATTCCTCTTACTTTTTTTTGAATATATATAAATAAATTGTGTATATTATACACATATACATACACATGCAACTTCTATTTACGTTTGACAACATTTACAGTTATCGCAGCCGATGCCAACAACTGAGCCCCGCAATCAACAATCACATCAACAGCAACACCTTACGCATTCATCAGCTGCACCTGTCGCCGAACCCGAATTGTGTACCACTTGCCCTAACTGTCAAACAACGATTTACCTTGTTCGGGGAAACGACACCAACAATGAACCTCCTCAAGGTTATACCTCAATCCACCATGATACCACTGGTAGCACTAATGCTAATTAGCACATTATGTCGTCCCGGTCCTGGCCACTTTTCTAAGATAAGCAATTTTCTCCTAAGATATATTAAATTTTTTGTAACATAAATTTCCCAGTGAGTAATAATATATAATAAAAAATTATATTTATTTCTAACTTGACGCCTTAGAACGTATCTGAAAATCATCAAACTAATATATATATATATATATATATATATTTATATATCGGGGTTTTTTAACCGCTGAAGCGATTTACGGCCAAGGGAGGGTCCTGTGGTTTATACTAAGCCGCCTCCGAACGGCTGATGGTTTTTATGAGGAGCTTTTAATTTTTATATCATAACTACCCTCGGAGAGGTTGAGATTCTCTTTCGAGGGGCGACCGCAATAATTTTTTATTTAAATTAATTTTATATAACTTTTGGATGTTAGTCGAACCAGGACCACTAACTTAAGCCTTCCGAATGTCAGTACACATTTGTTTTTTCGTCAGCCTTAACTATTACGCAAAGGTAGGTGCTGTCGGACACAGGAAGTATTTGCATATTAAAAGGAAACATTTCGAAATTAAATTTCAAATAGGTAACCAGGTGAAGTGAGTTAAGTAGAAAAGCATTTTGACTCTGTCTTAAGTCAACGTCGTTTTTTTTTGGGATTTTAAAGCCAAGGTAAGAATCCAAAATCATTAATTTGTAACTGCCGAAGGGTTTTTCTGCCGAGCAACTCCTGAAATTGTGAAGTGCATCTTGATGTTTCCCCATAAACAGAGGGACCTACGGTCTATTCTATGCCGTCCAAAAGGAAGAGGAATTTTTTTTAAGAGCTTTCATGTCAAATCAAAAATAAACTTGATGCGCTGAGTTCCGCTGTCGGGAAGGCCATCGCAACTATAAAAAAATATAATTTTAGGTGATGGTCGCGGCAGAACTTTTTGCATGGGCCGTGCATTTCAGAGTTGGTTTTGCATCAATACAATAATAAAGCTCTAAAGGCTATCGATAACACCTCTTATCAATTTAGTTTAAATTGTACTCCAAGTTTCTCTCTACGACTATAAAGTTTAAGCAGATTAATAACGACTTTTGTAAGGAAGGATTTTTATTCACATCCCATTGTGAATTTCTTAGCTTATCACTATACAATTTATCGTGTGGATTCCATACAACTGACCTGTATTCCAAAAATGTTGTTATGGTACATTTACAGAAATTTATGTAATATAATATTGAAGATTGTTACAAAGGAAAAGTTAAAGTACTTATGTATGTGAGAAAGCTTCTAGCTGTGAAGTATGTTCTTGTTGTATCAGTTCACTAGCACCGCATATGGACAGGCTAGTTACTCTAAGTCACCGAGGTCATCTAACCAAAGCTGTTTCGGGGTTAGATGCGCCGGTTACAGGGAGGCATGTAAAGAGGAGGTTGGTGTCGTGTGGAGACTCTACATACAGGACAGGCCATCCTGTCCAGAGGTTGTTGAACGTGTAGCTGGAAGGTGTCCTTTAAGTCTAGTACTCGCTTGTCGTTGTGGTTGTTGTAGCGGTTCGCTGACCCCGGCTTAGGTACAGGTTTGATCAATCTAAGCCGTCGAGTTCATCTAGTGGGAGGTCCAGGAAACGAGCTGTTTCGACGGGATTGGACCAAAGAGAAGGGTTAGACGAATCGATTCAAGGGGGCATGTAAAGAGATAGTTAGTGGCGAGCGGAGACTCTCCACATGCATGGGCAAAATGTCAGGGTTGCAAAGTATCGATTCAAGACAAGGGTCTCAATCAGGAGAAAGCAGCCAAATCCATCGGCACCGACGGAATAATAATGCTGATGCTAAAACACCTAGTACCCTAAAGATACCCGATGTGTGAAAAATGGGCAGAGTGATCCCGCTTCGCATGCCGGGGAAACCAGCTAACAAAGGAGTCATATCGGTCGATATCTCTCCTCTCCCCAGTAGCGAAGACCCCTGAGCTCAGCAGCACATCAGCATGACTTCCGCAAAGTGCATAGTTCCCATATAGTAAATGGACCTAACCAAAACCGGCCCTGTAGCGTAGCCGCTGTCTCTTCATTCGCCAATCTAGGTCAGTATCATCGTATAGCTAATGTTGCCAATGCGCAAAGGACCATAAATCGTTCGCTAACTTTTTGCTCAAAGACTCCCAAAGCCGGGCAATATAGTAGGACGGAAATGTTGAACGACTTGTAGGGTTTGGTTTTATTATCTCCGACTATGACTACGAACAGTGTCGTGGGAGCCAAGTCGCGACTCCGATGACTGTTTGTTTAATGAATATACTTCGTATTGCCCTCGTTCACTTCACGTTTCTTTATCAAGCCTGTAGAAAGCAGAACTGACGGCGTGGTTTTTGAGACCCATAAAGTCAATATCATTGGCGTACGCCTGTGGTTCTACACTCTTCTAAAAGATTGTACCTTGTCTATTCAGCTCTGTAGCTTTTATTATTCTCTCCAGCATCAAAACTAGAAGGTTAAATAAGGGTTTCCGCAGGGTGGTGTCTTCTCCCCATTATTGTTTAATTTTTATTTTTCGAAGCTCCCTGCTCCAACAGAAGGGACTTCCATGACCTCATATACCGATGAATGTTTGATAATGGCGTCTGCATACGACCGCAATTGCCTCAAAACTCCAGAGCCGCAACAAAATACTCCAAAGTGGCAACCTGGTAGCCGAGGACGATCGAGACGCAGACGAAAAAGCTACAGGCTTGCCAAATCGACGTCCTTAAGATGATGTGAACTATAAAATAAAGCAGTTGCATTTTAAAACTATTAAGCCTTACTTGACGAAACTTTTGTTACGGGAAAGAAAAATAATCGGAAAGAATCTCGTAATTTCAGGCGTGCGATCAATACTTTCGAAGCAACGGGGAAATCTCTTTGGCCATAGCATCAGCACAAAAACAGCTGATTTAAGAAACAATAAAATAATCATAACAAAGTTACAACATGTGTTTTAAAAATAGCATATATTACATAGTTTTTCTGAATAAAATTGTAAAGTATATTGTTTGGTATCTATATTTTTAAAAGAATGTCGTGAACGGCTTTACCGATAAGTCTGAATATTGATGAGGAGGTAGCTTAGAGTCAGAAGTAAATCTTCTTCAAAGGATACTATTTATTCCGTTCTATAGAGTTCTCGTGTGACTTGACATAAAACATAAGTCACTATAAAACCGGAGAAACGCCAGGATTATGCTGCCTTAGTGGTAAAGTGAAATTACCATTGTTGATTCCGCCATCTGAGCCATTGTATTCATTGCTTTGTGGCGAAACACCAGAATCACGCCAATTTCTTGCAAACACTCAAAAATATAATGGTTGTTTCCAATTTACGTCATTTTGGAGCAACAGGATTTAATCCGACATGTAAGATACAACGAGAGATTCATAATCGAATTGGATCATTATTATCACTAGAAGATGCACATCGTAAATTTTTTTAAATATATTTCATGGGCAACATGGAAGAACAACTTGATCGACGTGGTCAATGCAGGAATGAAGCGAGTAATTCTTCAAGACTTGCAGCAAGTGCTTCATGGCTATCATGCGTTTGTCAAGTTGTTTAAGAGTGCTTCGGAGCTCATGCCAAATGATGACTATAAAGTTGTCATCAAAGCAGGTAAACGACCATCTGGAACACATGAACGCACATATAACGCTCCATCAATAGATGAAGTTGCCATCCTGATTGTTGGTGAACAATTGGAAACACGCTATATTGTGCTTACACGTCGCGATACTGGGCAACTGCAAAAATTTCTGAAACACATCGATCATATGTCGCAAGGAGAAGATGGATTTTGTTTCAATATCAATATGATAAATCTATTGAATGGTGAAGAAACCACACAGAAAATTAGCTCAATGAATTATTACGCATTTCGTTCAATGATTCGTCAAAATTCTGATAGACACGACATCACGCAACGTATATTCAGGCAAACAATTCGGTACCTGATGAACTTCATTGTTAAAAAACGTATGTTTGTAGATACTCGATTCTGGATGTATTCAACCGAATGGCAAAAGCGAGGCCTGCCGCATGCACTATTCTTATTTGGTTAGTGGAAAGAATTCAACCTGACCAAATAGATGCTATTATATGTGCCGAGTTTCCTGATCATGAAGCCGATCCAGCCCTTCATGATGTTGTTATTACAAATATGATTCATAGTACGTGTGGCGCCATCAATCCCCAATCACCTTGCATGATCGATGGAAAGTCCTCTAAACAATATCAACGGAAATTTACGTCGGTGATCGTCACTTTTAACGATGGCTATCAACTGTATCGGCGTCGATTACCAAATGACAACGGTCGAACTGTCACAAAAAAGTGAAAAGAATAAAATTTCGTTGTGGACAGCAGTTGGATTGTTCCATATTCGCCACTTATTTCTAAAACGTTCAAGACACATTGCAACGTTGAGTATTGCAATTCAGTAAAGCCTTTAAAATATATTTGCAAATATGTCACGAAAGACCAACGATGAAATTTCACATTCTCAAGTTGATCGTTATATACACTGTTATGTATATTCGCATTCCCTATTTACGAACGTCATCAAACTGTTGTGCATTTGGCAGTGCGTCTGGAGAATGGTCAACGAGTATATTTCACGGCTTCGAATGCTATGCAATGTGCTGAAACAGCTCCAGGAACTACATTAACCAGTTTCTTTACGATCTGCCAAAGCAACCGTTCGCACGAACTTTGTTTTACACAGAGATGCCACGTTATTATAGTTGGAATGCTGCATCGAAGAATTTTCAAAGACGGAAGTAAGGCAATGCGGTTCCTGGATATCCGGATGTGCGTTGTACTGGTGCTCTTAGTCGTATGTACACCGTTCATCCAAAGAATGATGAATGTTTCTATTTGCGGTTGTTGTGGTATATCGTGCTGCATGTGAAGAACTTAGTAGAAGACGATACCCATTGAAATGCGGCTGCCGACGAAATAAACGCTTGCCTCGAAACGCCAAATCTTTGGCGCTGTGTAAAGAAACTGCAGCTGACAACAAACATGAGAGTTGCATTGCTTAATGATAGATCTGCTGAAGATTTCTGTTGTTGTTGTTGTTGTTGTTGTTGTAATCGCAAATATATTCCCCAAAGTACTTTTTGAAGAA